GGCTGGGAGAAAGCTACAGAGGGTGCAGCCTCAGCTTGGTAAAGAGGTTTTCACTTTGAAAATAAAGTCCTGTTGAAGCTTGTTAGTACCTTGCCTGGTTGATACAACACCTGGCCAGTGCCTAGCCCTGGAAGCTACTGTGACTGAGCTTAGGGGCACATGGTAGCAACCACGAAGACTGAATGGCCAACTATTAGGATGCAGTTATAGAGAGAGAGAAGGCCCCAAGCAACCACGCTGGAGATGGAAGAGAAGGGACACAACTGAACCCTCCCTTGTAAGCACAACTGCAGAGTAAAGTAACAGAGATGTCCGAGCAAAGCCAGATAAAACGGTTTCCAGCATATGCAACCATGGCAGCGAGTACCATGAATCCGCATGGCACAGCTACCTTCCCCGCAGGGTACTCTATGAATTAGATGCACAGAAAGTAAACAGTTTGCAAGGACACTTGATGCGAAAAAGCCCAACTGTGCAAACCAACTATTATTTGTCTTTCAGTTGAAAAGGTGCTAACCCAGAGCAGTCTCTGGGTCGCTGGCAACGAGAACCATTCAGGTACAGTGCACGCTCTGGAATGTGGGCTCCATGCTCACTGCCTGAGAGAATAGTTGGGAGGGGCTCTTTGGAGCAGCCTCTCAGAAAAAGGCAAAACCTATTTGCTTGACACAGTTCGCATCTCAAAGCACTCCACACAGCTCTCACAGTAGGAGTCGGTGCTCTTGCGAACGCCCCAGCACACCATGCTGAAATTCAAAAGGCACCTGATCACGTAAGTGTATTTGATTTTATACCTTTGAAATAAATCCTGTTCCATTTTATTGATGCTGTGTCCACCTGTCTCTTGTCTGGTTCACTTGTGTACCTAGGGTGCTATGTAAGGACTTGAGTGTTGAGTATCAGTGGAACTCATTAGGAAGCAGCAGACATGCTCTGCAGGAATATTGGGGAAATTCAAACTGATGAGAGCATTGAAGCTTCACTAGGACATGAAGTAGCATTTCTCATCTCTGTTGGCAGGAACAATCGCTCTAAGGAAGCCCCAGGGCTGCAAAGGAGGAATGGCAGAAGTGAGCTCACTGGGGCAAGTCGGGCAGTAGCCTGTATTGCTTCTGCCTGCTTTAAAACTACTTTTTAAGCACAGAGCTCCCTAATCGCAAGTGTGTGTTGCCTTCTTCACGTTGGAATTGGAAGGAGACACACAGCCAGCTGTGGTACTCAGCAAATATGCCCGCTTGCCATACTCATTTCTATGGCCTTACTCATGTTCCCTGTTTTCCAATGGAACAACTAATTCTGTTCCCATTCTATTGGGACCGGGGCTGTTCAACACATTCATCAGTGAGTGGGGGAAAAGGAATGAACAGCCAGGTGGCAAAGTTTGCAGATGACACAAAACTACTCAAGATCATTAAGTCCAAAGCTGACTGCAAAAAGTTACAAAGGGATCTCAGAAAATGAGGTTATTGGGGGGAAAGTGACAGATGAAAATCACTGTTGATAAATGCAAAGCAATGCACATTGGAAAACAATCCCAACTACACATACAAAACGATGGTCTTTATATTAGCTCTTACCACTCAAGATAGATCTTGGAGTCATTGTGGATAGTTCTCTGAAAACTTCAGCTCAATATGCAGCGTCAGTCAAAAAAGTGAACAGAATGTTAGTGTCCATTAGGAAAGGGATAGATAATAAGAGTCAATATCATAATGCCATTATATAAACCCATGGCACTCCCGCACCTTGAATACTGCATGCAACTCTGGTCACCCTGTCTCAAAAAGGATACATTAGAAATGGAAAAAGTGGAGAGAAATGCAACAAAAAGAATCAGGGGTCTGGAACAGCTTTATATGAACAGAGATTAAAGACTGGGACTCTTCAGCTTGGAAAACTGATGACAAAGTGGGGGGATATGATAGAAGTCTATAAAATCATGACTGGTGTAGAGAAAGTGAATAAGGAAGTACTTTTGCCCCTTTACATAATACAAGAACCAGGGGTCACCCCATGAAATTAAGAGGCAGCAGGTTTTAAAAAAATATATAAGGAAGTACTTCTTCACAGAAAGCACAATCAACCTGTAGAACTCGTTGCCAGGGGATTTTGTGAAGGTCAAAAGTGTAACTGGGTTCAAAAGAGAGTTAGATCAGTTCATGGAGGATAGGTCCATCAATGGCTATTAGCAAAGTTGTTCAGTGATACAATCCCATGCTCTGGGTGTCCCTAAGCCTCTGACTGCCAGAGACTGGGACTGTACGGCAGAGGATGGATCGCTCTAATTGCCCAGTTCTGTTCATTCCCTCTGAAGCATCTGGTGCCAGGCATTGTCAGAAGACAGGATACTGGGCTTAATGGACCATTTGTCTGACCCAGTGTGGCCTTTCTTGTGAGACAGAGGGTTTCATATATGGAAGGGAGACTGCTGTTTATTATACCAGATACCACTATGCAATGGTACCTGGTCCTCCCCTCTGTTTATCTCTCCTCGTTTAGAATGTTCGCTCTTTCATGCGGGGACAATTTTGCTCTCTGTCTAGTTTCTGGCATGACAGGCTCTGGTCGGGACCCAGAGATACTACTGCAGTACACAGAAGAAGATAAAACTCTGGGCTTTTTACTCCCTTGGAGTCTAGATTCAGACCCACACAATTGATTCAGAGTTTATCTACCCAGACTATTTCAGGGCGAGTACACCACCCAGGGGAACCTCTACCACACCAACATCCACAAGAGAAGATCGCATGGCCCCACTGAAGTCAATGGGAGTTTTGCTATTGTCTTCAATGGGGCCATGATATCACTGGAGGTGTTATGTTCTTCCTAACCTTCAGGGAAGTCAGCCCTGTTTTTGTGATTTGTTGACAAATGAGTGAGAAAGCAGTTTAAACTCTGTTCAAATCACCCTAGAAGAGGAAATTAGTCCAATTAATTTCATGAGAAACTGCATCTCGTTCCCTGGAGTACAGAATATTTGTCCCCTGTCATTAATGAAATAAGCCTCTGCCACCAACGCAACTTTGGCAATTTTGTCAATGCATCAGTATGAGTCATTGTGGGCTGAAAAGCAGAGGCAGCGTTTGAGAACTAGACAAGCAGTAGAGTATCAATGAATATTTGCTCATCACACTGTTAATTTGTATTGGTGTATTAACACTTCTGCATTGTTTGATTAATGGGATACAGCTGGGGAACAAAGTAACTATTTTACCAGGGCAGCAGCTGTCTCCACTCTGAAGGTGAAGGTTTGGACGGGATGAAGTTTAACAAGCATTGTAGGTCAAGTAAAGCAAACTCTCAAGAAAGGAGCTGACAACAACTCCAGGTTATTAACTATTATTAATTAGCAATGAGATAAAATCAGGTATAGGGACTTCTCAAGTTAACTTCTCATTTGAAGAATGCTACTTCTACCAACGTACATAGCCCCCCTCCACAGAACAGCCCTGCTGGATCTGCGTGTCTCGTGCCTGGGTCTGAGAACAGTTCAGACCAGGGCTAAAGCAAGAGAGCCTTAGCTCTTGTCAATCTGGGCTCCTTGCATCTCATGCATCACCACCTCTAAGGTTCTGCAAGGCAAATGGGGCTCTCCCTGACACCTGTGCAGCTATCACTTGTCACTGATGGGTTTGACAAGTATAAATGATTGAGCATAGCAAACAGGTCTACACTGGCAAGTTTCTGCGCAGTAAAGCAGCTTTTTGCACTCAGACTGAAGATGTGTACACACTGCCAAGCCACCTTGTGCACAGAAACTCCTCAGTTGCAGAACTGCAAAAAAAACCCACAAAAAACCTTGACGAGAGTCGTAAAGCTATTTGCGCAGAGACTCCAGCGCTCTATTGTCAGTGTAGACACTTGATTGCTTTCTGTGCTGTAACTGGCCTCCAGAGCTATCCCATAATGCCTCAAGTGACTGCTCTGCTCATTGTTTTGAACTCAGCAGCCCTGGAGACATGTGCCCCTCCCCTTTCAAAGCCCAGGGAGGGAGGTGGGAGCTGATGTTGGGGATTCCCTCTCCCCCTGCCTCAGGACTGGCTGCTTCCTGCCACTGTCTGAACTTACAAGACAGCATGCTGACACACTCTCTGTTCCCCAAAACACACTCTCTCTCCCCCTCTCCCTCCATACACACAAACACACACACTCCTTCTCACACACTCTTCCCCCCCTCCCCCACTTCAGTCGAAAAGAAGCTGGCAATGTAGTAGGATGCCCATGGAACAATGGGATTGGGAAACCTGCATCATGTGACATTGTGCCTGCCCCACGAGGCACTGCAAACTCTTCCCAAAGGACCCTGCGGCCAGTTGTACAGTGGGATAGCTACCACAACGCACTGCTGTCTTTGCCATTGCAAGAGCTGCTAATGTGGATGCGCTCCAGCGTCACAAGGAACACAGTGTGGACATGCAACAGCAGTTTAATTCCAGCATTTTAATAAAAGTGGTATAACTTGCGGCATAGAAACTTGCCAGTGTAGACATACCCTAAGGTAAGCTGTTTGCGCTCTGGGCCGCTAGCAAGAATGAAAAGTAGGGAAAGCCTGTTTCTGTTGCTAAAATCAGTAGCTCTACTTTGAATACCCAAAGGGAACATGTCTGAGTGAGAAGGTGATTTCATGAAGTCACTTTCCAGAGCAAAATCTCATGGTAAAGGGTAAATGGAAGAGCCTGGCAAATAGGATTTCTAGCGTTTATCAGTGTTTGCTCTTCAATTAGCTAAAAATGTTCCACAGTTGGAAGTTCCCACTGGGCTGCTACAAGCTACACGGATTATTGCCATGGCTGACTCTGTGCCCCTTCCATTATACCACAGGGACCCTTGTAAAAAGTGTGACCTTCGGTTTAAAGAAGAGGAACAGAAAAGTATCTCTTTGGTCCTTATTCCACACTGCCTTGCACCTTGCACTGTCATTTTTACAGCTGGGCATGTATTGTAAAACACTACCAAGTTAGAGTGATTATATTAAACCTGGTACATGTGTTTCCCTTCAGGAAATTGAAACTGACGCACAACAGTCAGATAGGACGACTCTGGATTTCCCTCACTCTCCTCACCATCCTGTGTGTTACTCTTCAAATTGTGCGGAATCTGCAACCTACCCAGTAAGTTCCACATATGATGGAGAATATTTCACCTTAGAACTCCCAGGAGCCAGATTGAGAACTGGAATTGGCCAAATGCTGCCAACCCCCACACATCAAAATCAAAACATGTTTTCTATTCTGTTTCAATTTTCAACCAGATTTACTTCAGGTGTGTCTGTGCCCCTGTGTGTCCCTTTCCAAGAATAGCTCAAGAATGACTCAGGAATGTTTGCTAAAATGGTGGCCCTTAACCAAATATTGCAGAGCATTTGCAGAAAGTGAATCTTTTTTTGCAATCCCAAGCTTTGCTGGAAACCTGATCTTATGAGGCCCCTATCCAACCAGGGAACAGAAACATGCGATTTGAGCTGTGTGTCCAGTGGAAACTACTTGAATCTCAAATATCAGACACTTGCAACAAACCACTTATAAACAAGCTACAGACAGAGAATTTCACATAAATTTGGGGAAATCATGATTTATGGAGGCAATTTCCAAACAAAAGAAAATTAATTGAATGATTTATTCACCCAGCTCTGCTGACGGCTTATGCATTTGAATCTACCCTCTAGCATCCTAGAGGCAGCCAGTTTCAGCTTACCAGTATTGTCATGTCCTCAGTGTCCAAATCTAGCAAGTCACACTCAGTTTCTAGGAACAGCAAGATTCTTCATACCACAACCAACTAGCAATTTCCTACTTGTCACCAGGGTACAACAGGAACCAGGCACCATAACATCTGGGTCTTCAGACTGAGCCAAGAAGGCTAGATCTAGCATGATAGTAATAGATCTGCACACTTATTTCATAGTTGTCATAGATTTCAAGGCCAAAAGAGACCCTTTGATCATAGTGTTACCTTTATAACATAGGCTGTTACATTTCACACAGTTATCCTTGTGCTGAGTGCAATCACTTGGGTTGAACTAAATCATTTGCATCCTCAGGAGATAAACTTACGTGCCACAGGCAGAGAACAGGAGAGACAAAGGAGCCACTCAAGCCCTTGGCAATCCTTAGCACTCTAGCTAATATCCAGGTTGAGGTCACCAGGAGACTTGGAAAGTTAGAGAATCTGGGGAGACTGGACTGGATTAGGTGGCCTGTTGAAGGGTTTGGCAGCTGGAATTAGACTGGCAAGCTGTGTGTTGAGGGACAGTTAGGTAAGTGGGAGCTTGTCAGCATGCATAGGACATGTCAACAGCTGCAAGACAGGGAAAGTGATGTGTATCTGGGTTTCCCATCAGTCTGCCGGACTAAGAGAGATAGGGGTCTGGTGAGGACTAATGGGAAGATCCACTGGTAGGAAGTCAACCTGTGAAACTCCTTGCCAGAGGATGTTGTGAATGCCAAGACTGTAATAGGGTTCAAAAAAGAACTAGATAAATTCATGGACGATAAGGTCCATCAATGGCTATTAGCCAAGATGGGCAAGGATCGTGTCCCTAGCCTCTGTTTGCCAGAGGCTGGGAATGAGCGACAGGGAATGGATCACTTGATGATTACCTGTTCTGTTTATTCCCTCTGGGGCACCTGGCATTGGCCACTGTCGGAAGACAAGATACTAGTCTAGATCGATCTTTGGTCTGATCCAGTATGGCTGTTCTTATGTTCTTAAGATCACCCACGATGTTCTAAGGTGTTCTAATATTCTCCCTCTTACAGCAACTGCAGGTGTGACCAGAAACTCAAGCGACTTTCCCTCCAGCAAAGCACTGGCCGTGAGAACTTGTTCCAGCAGGAGAAGGGGACAAGCTCTGGCCACCGATTTCCTGAACCTTTGGAAAGTGATGTCCCACAAAACAGGCAGAAAAAAGTCATAGCCAAGCCCAGGTCTGCTGAAAGCATTCTGCACATCACAGAACTGGGCCAGATGTTCAGCCAGAACCAGGCCAGCACCTTGAACAGCCAAGATGGGGTCTGGAAGAAGAGTCAGAGAGAAGACAGCAAGGATGTGTGGATCCTTCAGACAACCAAGAGACTGAAATCCCAGCCCCAGGTCTCTGAAAGGGCACCCAAAAGGGATCATATGGATAGAACTGTGACCCCACCTCCAAGCAGGAAGCCCATGACTAAGGCAGCAGATCCCTTCAGCAAGAAACCAGAATCTGCAGCAGAGATCATTGCCAAGGAGCAAACTTCAAGGTCACCATTTGGGAAGGTTGCAGGGTCATTCCAGAGCCAGGCAGAAGCCACAGGCTCCCCCAGCCACAGGGGGGGCAGCTCTTCCACACCTGCTACAACAGCTGCCCCAGTACCAGACTGGGTCACAAAGGCAGAGAAGCAAAATGACGCGGCATCATGGAGTATGGACAGAGAGCTGCTTCAGAGCAAAACCACAGTTCCCAGAGCTGGAGGAGATGCACTTGCCCACATCCTGCCAGCTGTCTCCAACTCTTCTCGCACAGTAGCCTGCAAGCCCAAGACCCACGTGGTGTTCCTGAAGGTGCACAAGAGTGCCAGCAGCACTGTCATGAACATCCTGTTCCGCTTTGGAGAGACGCACCACCTTACCTTCGCCCTTCCCATCAATGGTGCCAGCCAGCTGGGCTACCCACACTACTTCCTGGCAGAGTCTGTGGAGGGATTCACCCTAGGCAATGCTTCAGCATTTAACATTACGTGCCACCACATGAGGTTCCTGCAGGCACAGGTAAGGGACAGAGCTTCAAGGCATCAGAAGGGAAATGGGTGGGGAGGAAGAGCAGCAGGATAGCAGTGAGATAGCCAGGACACCCCTCTCGGCTAATGAGCAGGGGTTGTCGAGAGGGAAGCTACAGTGATATTTAATTGCCCACTGCTCTTCAGCATCAGCAATGTCTCTCATCAGGCCTAACCTGGAAGCTGGAGATACTGCATCCTAGCGGTTGAGCCAGTGTCAACAAGCCTGACACCATCGTGTTGCTATAGTGGGGAATGATACGCTCAGGTGATGGACAGACTTGTCTCCTGGCATGTCCCATGGGCCAGTGGCTGAGTCGGGTAGTGGTTGGGATTGTGGATGCCATTTGGAGAAGTGTGTCCAATCCACCAGCACAGCTGGAACCAGAGCTAAGTGGGCATGAAAAGCAAACCCACCCTTTGGCCCCTAGAGATGACTCTTCCACTGCAGGTCAAGGCATGCTGGCAGAGCAGTGAGGGGAGCTCCCATTGCTGCTGCCCATTTTGTACATGCTCTGTGGCTAAATAGAGAACTCCAGGCTCCAGCATTGGCCCTGGGGCCCCTTTCACAAGCACTGCACTGATCCTGGGCATCTGGGCATATCCCTATTAAACACCCATCCTACAGCCCGTAAAGCCCCTTCCAAAGTAGCCGGTGGGTAGGACTTGCTACTCTGCCCACACACTCTAACTCACCAGTGAATTCAACTGACCTGTTAACCCGACTCCCATGGAAAGGACACATGGGTATATTAGACTGGCAGAGTAGGCTTCCCTCATTCTCTTCACCCCCTTCCCCTCACCCCTCCAGGTGCAGAGAGTGATGCCAAGCTCCACCTTCTACTTCTCCATCCTACGGAACCCCATCTGCCTCATGGAGTCCTCGTTCACTACAAAAGGCAGGTCCCCCTTCTCCCGTGCCCAGAGCCTGGAAGAATTTCTCAGCCAGCCAGCCAGGTTTTATAACTCCTCAGCCCCCGACAGCCACTACGCCAAGAACCTCATGGCTTTCGACTTCAGCTTCAACCACAATGGCAATTTCTCTGCCAAGCACATGCAGCTGATGCTGCAGTACATCGAAGAGGCCTTCGACCTCCTCCTCCTCTCTGAGTACTTTGACGAGTCCATGGTGCTGCTGAAGGAGGCACTGTGCTGGGACCTGGACAGCATTGTGTCCTTCCCACTCAACAGCAGGGAGGGAAGCACCAGGTCACCCCTTTCAGAGAGCACAGCAGAGAAGATAAAGAGCTGGAACAGGCTTGACTGGGCAATCTACAGACACTTCAACAGGACCTTCTGGCAGAGGATCGACTGGAGCATGGGCTGGGAGCACATGCAGCAGGAAGTCAGGGTGCTGCGGGAAAGGCGGGAGCGTCTGGCCAAGACCTGCCTTCAAGGGCGGGGGAGTGTAGGCCCCCGCGAGCTCAGGGACAAGTCACTGGCACCGCTGCAGTATGGCAAGGCCACAATTCTAGGCTATAATCTGAAGCCAGGGCTGGACAAGGTGACAGAGCGACTGTGCCGGCACATGGTGACACCTGAGCTTCAGTACAGCAGATCCCTGTACAGGAGACAGTTCCCTGAGAAGGCCCAGCGGATCTACAGGCCAGCTCATCCACCCAGGATACGCAACGGGATAATGGGCTGAGAAAGTAAAAGCATAACGGCCTGCCCCAAACACTCGCCCCTGCTCCTGGTCTCCCCCTGAAACCTCTGTTGGTGGGCAGAACATAATGCAATTCAGGCAGCAGAACCTCATGGAGCCATACCAGAGAGGGGTCTCTATCTCCATCCATATGCCTCTTGCTGGTGAGGCAGGGGGAAGGTAAAGCCGGACCCATCTACATCAGGCTGAGGTGAAGCTGACAGGTTGCCAGCCTGGCTGCAGCTGCTTTGCAGCCTCAGAGCCATTTCAGCTAAACTGTTTAAATTCTAGTAGGTAAAAAAAAGTGTAGATCTGGAGCAGATATTATATTCTGTGGAGTTTGGGGTCACACAGGGCAGCAAGGCCTCAGGAGAGAGCAAGGTATCTTTGGCTCTGGAGCACACTCTTCATATTAATTATTTGTATTGTAGCTCCTAGGAACCCCAGCCAGGGACCAGGGCCACCAATGTGCTTGGTGCTGTATGAACACTGCACAAAAAAAGCATCAGACGAGACAACCGGTAGACACTATGATTGGTTGGACCCCACTTCTGGGGTGTCATCTGATGTACTGAGCCTCTCTTTCTCAACCAACCAGGGTTCCCTCTCCCGGCTTTGCTGAATTAGGCTCTCTGGCCTTTTGCTACACACACACACACACACACAGGGAGGGCGACACCCCGCTGCAGTCACAGACTGAAGTCAGCTCTGTGTGCGAGGATACCCCCAGTGCTCACGTGCACACCCCTTTTGGGAGATAAATTCAAAATATTACTGTCTTGCACTGTATAGAAAAATCTGCACAGTGCAAGCTCATAAAAATCCACCCTCTTCCTCAATGTGAAGAGAGATGTGCACAACTTCTTGCCCACCCCAGTTAGAAATTACATAAACTGAGTTTTATTATAAATAAGAAATAAGCTTATTAAGTACAAAAGGTGAATGTTATGTAGTTAAAGGGATAGCAAACAGAACAAAGCAGATTACTTTAGTAAATAAACAAAAACTGCAGACTGAGCTTAACACATTAGATAGATGGGTGGGAGGGATAGCTCAGTGGTTTGAGCATTGGCCTGCTAAACCCAGGGTTGTGAGTTCAATCCTTGAGGGGGCCATTTGGGATCTGGGGCAAAAATTGGGGATTGGTCCTGCTTTGAGCAGGGGGTTGGACTAGATGACCTCCTGAGGTCCCTTCCAACCCTCATATTCTATGATTCTATGAGGTAGGATACAAATTAAATTCTCACCCTGAGTGATAAACAGGCTGGCAGATTCTTAAGGCACAAGTTGCCTTGGCTTTCCTAGGTTTTCTTACCTAAAGATCTTAGCCTGGGAATATCACTTGTCACACTTCAGTCTTTGTTCCTCAGGTGTTTTCAGGTGTTGTAGGGAGAGTGAGGACCACTCATGTTGTCATTGTTCTTCTTTTATATCTTCCTCCCACTTGCTGGAAAGCTTTTTTGCTATGACCTGGGTCAAACAGTTCCCATTGTGTAGAGCTATCTCTGAGGGGTTTCTGTTTCACACAGTTCTTGGGATAATCTTCATGCTTGTGTGCATTTCCTCAATAAGCCACTAACATTGTTTGGCCTCATCCACCGTAACACATTTGAAATACAGAGACATGGTCAATATTCCCAGCTTCAGATACAAAAATGATACATACATACGAATTGGATAAACACATTCATAAATCATAACCTTTCCAATGATACCATACATGAGCCATCTTGCATAAAGTATATCTTAGTTGTACCATATTCATATTCTATCTAATACTCAAGATCCATAAACCTGGAAATCCTGGGTGCCCCATCATCTCAGGCATTGGCACCCTGACAGCAGGATTGTCTGGCTATGTAGACTCCCTCCTCAGGCCCTACGCTACCAGCACTCCCAGCTACCTTCGAGACACCACTGACTTCCTGAGGAAACTACAATCCATTGGTGATCTTCCTGATAACACCATCCTGGCCACTATGGATGTAGAAGCCCTCTACACCAACATTCCACACGAAGATGGACTACAAGCCATCAAGAACACTATCCCCGATAATGTCACAGCTAACCTGGTGGCTGAACTTTGTGACTTTGTCCTTACCCGTAACTATTTTACATTTGGGGACAATGTATACCTTCAGATCAGCGGCACTGCTATGGGTACCCGCATGGCCCCACAGTATGCCACCATTTTTATGGCTGACTTAGAACAACGCTTCCTCAGCTCTCGTCCCCTAACGCCCCTACTCTACTTGCGCTATATTGATGACATCTTCATCATCTGGATCCATGGAAAAGAAGCCCTTGAGGAATTCCACCATGATTTCAACAATTTCCACCACCATCAACCTCAGCCTGGACCAGTCCACACAAGAGATCCACTTCCTGGACACTACAGTGCTAATAAGCGATGGTCACATAAACACCACCCTATACCGGAAATCTACTGACCGCTATTCCTACCAACATGCCTCCAGCTTTCATCCTGACCACACCACACGATCCATCGTCTACAGCCAAGCTCTGCGATACAACCACATTTGCTCCAACCCCTCAGACAGAGACAAATACCTACAAGATCTCTATCAAGCATTCTTACAACTACAATACCCACCTGCGGAAGTGAAGAAACAGATTGATAGAGCCAGAAGAGTTCCCAGAAGTCACCTACTACAGGACAGGCCTAACAAAGAAAATAACAGAACGCCACTAGCCGTCACCTTCAGCCCCCAACTAAAACCCCTCCAATGCATTATTAAGGATCTACAACCTATCCTGAAGGATGACCCAACACACTCACAAATCTTGGGAGACAGGCCAGTCCTTGCCTACAGACAGCCCCCCAACCTGAAGCAAATACTCACCAGCAACTACATACCACACAACAGAACCACTAACCCAGGAACCTATCCTTGCAACAAAGCCCGTTGCCAACTGTGCCCACATATCTATTCAGGGGACACAGGGCCTAATAACATCAGCCACACTATCAGAGGCTCGTTCATCTGCACATCCACCAATGTGATATGTGCCATCATATGCCAGCAATGCCCCTCTGCCATGTACATTGGTCAAACTGGACAGTCTCTACGTAAAAGAATAAATGGACACAGATCAGATGTCAAGACTTATAACATTCATAAACCAGTCGGAGAACACTTCAATCTCTCTGATCACGTAATTACAGACATGAAAGTTGCGATATTACAACAAAAAAACTTCAAATCCAGACTCCAGTGAGAAACTGTTGAATTGGAATTCATTTGCAAATTGGATACAATTAACTTAGGCTTGAATAGAGACTGGGAGTGGCTAAGTCATTATGTAAGGTAACCTATTTCCCCTTGTTTTTTCCTAGCACCCGCCCCCCCCCCGGACATTCTTGTTAGGCCCTGGATTTGTGCTGAAAATGGCCCACCTTGATTATCATATACATTGTAAGGAGAGTGATCACTTTAGATAAGCTATTACCAGCAGGAGAGTGGGGTGGGAGGAGGTATTTTTTCATGCTTTGTGTGTATATAAAAAGATCTTCTACACTTTCCACGGTATGCATCCGAAGAAGTGAGCTGTAGCTCATGAAAGCTTATGATCAAATAAATTGGTTAGTCTCTAAGGAGCCACAAGTAGTACTTTTCTTTTTGCGAATACAGACTAACACGGCTGTTACTCTGAAACATATTATAACCATATTTCCATGAAGAATATTGGGTGTAACATCACACCTGTCCCCTTAAATTACTGCCAGAGGATTGGTCACTGACCAATGCGGAGGCAGTGTGCCCAGCTTCCTCTTTTCTACACAGGGCATCTGCTACCATATTCTCCTTCTCTTTAATGCACACAATCTCCATGTCAAATTCCTGCAGCACTAGGCTCCAGCGTAGCAGTTTGGAGTTTTTGCCCTTGGTTCTGTTCAGTCATATTAACGGTGAATGGTCTGTTAAAATCTTGAACCTCCTGTTAAAGAGGTAAGGCCTCATTTGTTTAATAGCCCACACTATGGCATAGCACTCCTTTTCTATAAGAGAGTAATTCTGTTCATTAAGGGACAGCTTCTTGCTTCCTCCCGTTTGCAGCAGTAGAGCACCCAACCCAGTGTCGGATGCATCAGAGCACAATTCAAAAGTCTTATCAAAGTCAGGGCTGGCCAGCACAGGCTCTGCAGACAAGAGTGCCTTTGCCTTATCAAAACCCTTCTGGCATACCTCTAACCAAATTACCTTAGTAGGTTGATGCTTTTTTACACAAGTCCGTGATTGGGGATACAATGTTGCTGAACACTGCCCTCCCCCACCACCCACCCACCCAACCTCCTGTAATAGTTTGCCACGCCTATGAAGGCTTGGCCCTGTCTTTTAGTTTGGGGCACAGGCCATTTGACAATGGCTTCCACCTTGAGAGGGTTGGGGGTTCCACCCACCCCCCCAACCCAATGTCCTAGATAAGGGATGCTGGCCACCCCATCTTGCACTACGGCCATGTCTACACTACGAAAGTACTCTGATTTTACAGAAGTCAATTTTTGGGAACAGATTGTATAAAGTCGAGTGCATGCATCCACACTAAGCACATTAATTTGGTGATGTGCGTCCACAGTACCGTGGCAAGCGTTGACATTGCAAGCGGGGCACTGTGGGTAGCTATCCCACAGTTCCCGCAGTCCCCGCTGCCCACTGGAATTTGGGGCTGAGCTCCTAATGCCTAATGGGGCCAAAAATTTGTCATGGGTGGTTATGGGTAAGTGTCATCAGTCAACCCTCCCTCCCTCTGTGAAAGCAACAGCAGACAATCATTTTGCATGCTTTTCCCTGGATTGCCTGAGCAAACACCATAGCATGGCACGCATGAAGCCCATTCAGCTCACTGCAGCAGTTATGACCATGGTAAACACCTCACGCATTATTGTGCAGTTTATGCAGAACGAGCACCTGGAAAACCCGGTTAGGAGGCGACAGCAGTGCAGTGATGAGGACATGAACACAAATTTCTCTAAAACTGCGGTCCACAGCAATTTGGAGATCAGGGTGTTACTGGGGCAGGCTCATGACATGGAATGCCGATTCTGGGCCCAGGAAACAAGCACAGTGTGGTGGGACCGCATAGATTTACTTCCCAGACCAGAAAATAACTGTTGGGGATGTTGAAATGCCTAGAGTTATCCTTGGGGACCCAGCATATCCCTTAATGCCATGGCTCATGAAGTCATACACAGGAACCCTGGACAGTAGTAAGGAGCTGTTCAACTATAGGCTGAGCAAGTGCAGAATGGTGGTAGAGTGTGCATTTGGACATTTAAAGGGTCGCTGGTGCAGTTTACTGACTCACTCTGACCTCAGCGAAACCAATATTCCCATTGTTATTGCTGCTTGCGTGTGCTCCACAATCTCTGTGAGAGTAAGGGGGAGACATTTATGGCAAATCACCTGGCCACTGAATATGCGCAGCCAGACACCAGGGCGGTTAGTAGAGCACAGCAGGAAGCACTGCACATCAGAGAAGCTTTGAAAACCAGTTTCATGACTGGCCAAGGTACCATGTGACACTTCTGTTTGTTTCTCCTTGATGAAAAACCGCCCCCTTGGTTGCCTCTAAATTCCCTGTAAGCCACCCGCCCTCCCCCCTTTGATCACAGCTTGCTTGCAAAGGAAATAAAGTTACTATCATTTAAAAACCATGTATTCTTTATTAGTTGATCATAAAAATAGGGAGATAACTCAAAAGGTAGCCTGGGTGGGGTGTGGAAGGAGGGTAGGAGGGAAGGAAAAGGCCACTTCAAAACTTGTTAAATGACAGCCTTCTGTTGCTTGGGCTGTCCACTGGGGTGGAGTGGTTGGGAGTCCGGATCCTCCCCACCCCCCGCATTCTTGGGCATCTGGGTGAGAAGGCTATGGAACCCGGGGAGGAGGGAGGGCGGTTAAACAGGGGCTGCAGCAGCAGTCTGTGATCCTGCTACCATTCATGATCCTCCACCAGACGCCGGAGCATGTCCGTTTGATCCCGCAGTAGCCCCAGCGTTGCCCCATGCCTCCTCTGATCTTTCTGCCGCCACCTCTCCTCAGGTTCATTGGCCACTTTCCTGCACTGTGATACTGTGTCCCTCCACACATTCTGCTGAGCTCTGTCAGTGTCGGACGACTGCATTAGCTCAGAGAACATTTCATTACGCTTGCATTTTTTTCGCTGCCTTATCTGAGATAGCCTTTAGGACGGAGGAGGGAGGCTTGAAACATTTGCAGCTGCAGGAGGAAAAAAGGGAGTGATGTATTTAAAAAGATACATTTTACAGAAAAATGGCTATGCTCTTTCACGGTGAACAACACTATTCACATTACATAGCACATGTGATTTTAGTACAAGGTCACATTTTGCATCTTATATTGAGTGCTTGCAGCTTTGGTGTTAGAGATCATACATGCAGTGCCGGGCAACAGAATTCAGCTTGCAGGTGGCCATGGTAAGTCTTTTGCCTTCTGCAACCTTCACAACAGCAGCGCCCTCCTCTCCCATACCAAACAAAGCACGTTGAGTTGGCCATTTAGTGCTGTGATTTTCCTGTTAACATGCAGGGGCAGAAACCAAACTAACTCCTCCCCCCCGCATCCAATTCTCTGGGATGATTGCTTTACCCCTCACCCCACTGTGTGGCTGGTATCAGGGAAGATCACTGCTAGCCAAACGTGAACAGCTCAGCGCCAATGCCCTCCCCCACCTCACCCCATCCCGCCGCTTAGCTAACTGCAGGGAGGATTTCTTTTCAGCCACAGGCAAACAGCCCAGTAGGAACGGCCACCTCTGAATGTCCCCTTAATTAAATTCCCCTATTTCAACCAGGTTACCATGAATGATATCACTCTCCTAATGATAACACAGAGAGATAAAGAATGGATGTTGCTTGAATGCCAGAAAACACCGGGACCATAAGCTGCCAGGCTTTGTCGTGCAATGATACCAGATTACTTGCTACTAGCATGGCGTGGTAAAGTGTCCTACCATGGAGGACGGAATAAGGCTGCTCTCCCCAGAAACCTTCTGCAAAGGCTTTTAGAGTACCTCCAGGACAGCTTCATGGAGATGTCCCTGGAGGATTTCCGCTCCATCCCCAGACATGATAACAGACTTTTCCAGTAGCTGTACTGGCCACGAATGCATCCCAAGTCCTCAGGGCTACTTAATCATTAAAAAACACTTGCTTTTATAACATGGATTATATTTAAAAAAGGTACACTCACCAGAGGTCCCTTCTCCGGCTTGGTTGGGTTGGGAGGGTATTTCAGTCAGGGTGATAAAAAGATCCTGGCAGTCAGGGAGAACAGTGTGCTGTGTGCTCTCCTCAAGCTCATCGTTGTCCTCCTCATCCGCAAAATCCTCAGGCATGGCGGAGAGTACCCCATCATCGGAGTTCACGGACAGGGGTGGGATAGTGGTGGCGGCCCCCCTGAGAATTGCATGCAGCTTTGCATAGAAGCGGCATGTCTGGTGCTCTGTCCTGGAGCATCCGTCTGATTCTTTGGTTTTCTGGTTCGCTTGTCTGAGCTCCTTAAGTTTCACACGGCACTGTGTTGCGTCCCTGCTGTAGCCTCTGTCCCTGATGGCCTCGGAGATTTTTTGAAATGTTTTGGCATTTTGTCTTTTGGAACGTAGTTCTGATAGCATGGATTCCTCTCCCCATACAGCGATCAGATCCAGTACCTCCTGTTCGGTCCATGATGGAGCTCTTTGATTCTGGGACTGCATGGTCACCTGTGCTGATGAGCTCTCCTGACCAAACAGGAAATGAGATTCAAAAGTTCCCAGGGCTTTTCCTGTACACCTGGCCAGTGCATCCGAGTTCAGAGTGCTGTCCAGAGCAGTCACAATGGTGCACTGTGGGATAGCTCCCAGAGGCCAATACTCTAATTCAAAACGGTGATGTTGATTTCAGCACTAATCCCCTCGTCAGGGAGGAGTACATAAACCCATTTTAAGAGCCCTTTATGTCAACAAAAATGGCTTTGTTGTGTGGACAGGTGCAGGATTCATTCGATTTAAGGCTGCTAAATTCGACATAAATCTGTAGTGTAAACCAGGCCTAAGTGTGGTTTTTGTCTGTCTTTACAACTTCACATTTTGCCCTACAGATTTCTGAGAGCAGTAGAATTCCAGTAAAGATATAGCATAACTTGTAAATCCAGTTTTCCTTTCCCCTAGAGTTTCTGGAGCAAAATATCTTGTTCACAGTCCATGCAAGAAGCTGCACTGAGCTTTGTGGAAGTTCAAAGGGTGAAAATTAGTGTCAATCTACCACCTGTATTTGACATTGAAAGGTTTTGCTTTTACTTACAACTGAATGTTTGAGCCTTTTGCCGATAGCCCCCGCTTGCCAATAAGTGATGTCATTTGTAACCCAAGCAGCATCAGCAGCATCACCAATACATGTTTAGGACTTGCTTCCTACTAATCCACAATGTTCAGTGTTCAAAGAGTTTTTTTCCAGCATCACAAGAGATTTATTCAGATAAATTAATAAGTGGAACTACCTGCAATACGCTGGAAGCTGCACATCAACCATCTTTAATGGGGTTGCATTACCCTTAAAACTCCAAATAAATAGGGTTGGAGTATTTCGGCAAATGAGCAGTTGAGATTTATTTTGGGGAAAAACATTTAACTTGATGTACTCTATTACCCTTCACATTGCTATCTGGGGCATTCAGTGCCTACTACAGGGCTAACTCTATCCAATGGCTGGAAGTTGAAGCAAGACAAATTCAGACTGGAAATAAGGCGAACATTTTTAACAGGGACAGTAATTAACCACTGGAACAATTTACCAAGGGTCATGATGAGCTCTCCATCACTGACAATTTTTACATCAATACTGGGTGTTTCTCTAAAAGCTCTGCTCTAGGAATTATTGGAGGGCTGTTCTGCAGCCTGTACTATACAGGAGATCAGACCAGACGATCACCACAGTCCCTTCTGGCCTTGGAATCTATTAATTTACTTGTTAAAAAGGGCTGAGATTTTTCAAAGCAGTCTGTGGGATTTAGACACATCTTTCATTGATTTTAATGGAATATGAATCTAAATCTCAGACCGTTTTGAAAATCTCAATCTGGGGTTTAAAATACCTTGCAGGTCCCCTTTTGCCCTCCCTGGAGCCAACAGGACAGGATGCAATGAAACAGACAGAATCAAGTCCTGGCAGTTCTGTGCAACTCACATTATTCACCAGTTTTTATCTCCAGCGCAAACACTCCTGGTACCAGAGTTTTCAGTGCTCGGCTAATCAAGAAGCAGCAGCTATTCGCTGGGAGAGCTTGAAGGATCCTTTGAACCTCGCAGGGTCTCATTCAATCCTGCTGCTAGATCCCCTCCCTGGCACATTTCTGGCTATGTTTGAACATACAATTGTTTTATTCAGAGATTCATAGATACTAAGGTCAGAAGGGACCGTTATGATCATCTAATCCGACCTCCTGCACAACGCAGGCCACAGAATCTCACCCACTCACTCCTGTGAAAAACCTCTCACCTATGTCTGAGCTACTGAAGTCCTCAAATCATGGTTTAAAGACTTCAAGGAGCAGAGAATCCTCCAGCAAGTGACCCGTGCCCCATGTTACAGAGGAAGGTGAAAAACCTCCAGGGCCTCTTCCAATCTGCCCTGGAGGAAAATTCCTTCCCAACCCCAAATATGGCGATCAGCTAAACCTTGAGTCTATGGGCAAGATTCACCAGCCAGGAACGAATTCTCTGTAGTAACTCAGATCCCACCCCATCTAACATCCCATCACAGGCCATTGCGCCTATTTACCATGAATAGTTAAAGATCAATTAATTACCAAAAACATGTTATCCCATTATACCATCTCCTCCATAAACTTATCAAGTTTAATCTTAAAGCCAGATAGGTCTTTTGCCCCCACTGCTTCCCTTGGAAGGCTATTCCAAAACTTCACTCCTCTGATGGTTAGAAACCTTTGTCTAATTTCAAGTCTAAACTTCCCAATGACCAGTTTATATCCATTTGTTCTTGTGTCTACATTGGTACTGATCTTAAATAATTCCTCTCCCTCTCTGGTATTTATCCCTCTGATATATTTATAGAGAGCAATCATATCTCGTCTAAACCTTTTTTTAGTTAGGCTAAACAAGCCAAAAAAATAGGAACTATGTTAGCAATTCTCCAATCATACAGTACAACCCCTGAGTTTACAGATTCATTAAAAATTCTTGCTAATGAGCTTGCAATTTCGGGTGCCAATTCCTTTAATATTCTTGGATGAAGATTATCTGGGCCCCCTGATTTAGTCCCATTAAGCTGTTTGAGTTTTGCTTCTACTTCAGATATGGTAATCTCTACCTCCATAACCTCATTCCCATTTGTCATGCTACCATTATCCCTAAGATCCTCATTAAAGACTGAGGCAAAGTATTTGTTTAGATATTTAGATCACATAGACCTGCCTTTTCCTGGTGACGGTGCTATTCTCCAGTTTATCCCCTGTTCCCTCTGGCTGCAAGTTCTTTCCATTCCTATTCTCCCTTTTAATCCTCTTCAACCCAACCTGTATCCTCCTGAGGCTCATATTTGGTGTAGTCTCCATTGACTCTTCCCCTTTCCTATAGGACTAACCGCTCTTCTCCTCTTCCTTGCCCTTCCACCTTCAGTGACTACCTGCTGAGCCCCTTCTTCATTTTCCAACTCTGCAAACCTGTTCTTAAGCTCTATTTCTCCTTCACTAGCCTGTCTTTTCCTCTACCTGGTTCTTTTAGTCACATGCTTCCACTGACCACTTTCCTCACCCAGCAGTCTCCCCTCAGAATTCCTCAGTCCTGCTTCCATCTGCAAGTCTGAGCTTTTCCCTTCAGATTCTTCATGTCTTTGCTCCATAATCTGCTCGAACCCCTTTCTAAACTCAACCAGACTTTCCACCTGCATCTCCAAACCTCCGATTTTTTCCTCCATCAGCTCTATCAGATGGCATTTCATGCAGAGAAAACTCTTACCAGGTACCCCCTCCAGGATCATGTACATACCACAGCTTCCACATCCAGTCATCTTCATTGTGTCTTCCACTACATGGGTCACTCCCACTGCTGCCTCTGCCACAGCCTTCCCACCTAAATCCTGTTAATCTTCTCCTCCAACAGAGCTCCCACTGAAACTCCCCTGTTTACAGCTCTCTTTGCTAGCTCCTGTGCCGCTGCAGCTGTCTGTTATTATTTGTGCTCCAGGAGCACATAGGAGTCCAGCCAGGGACCAGTCCCCTCACTGCGATTTTACCAAACCAGCTCTTAGTACCAGGTAGGAAAAGGGGCTGATGGTAAACCACGGTTTTGCCCTTAAAATGTCTCCTGAGCCCTTAAAATGCTCAGTTAATTCTTAACTCTGCACCCTTGAAGGACTCACCCCAGTATCTGCACTTCTAGCAGAGAACTGGCCAAGCCACACTCTTGTAGCTCAGTGCAATGCTCAAATTGGGCCCAGGGAGCACTGTTGAGCAGCACGTGGTGTTCCTTCTACAGCCCTTCCAAGCCCTGCTGTCCAGCTGGGTCTTGGGTCTGGATTGGTCACATGAGGTGGCCCTGTTTACAGCTTAGACGCTCGTCTTGACCATTTATCACAGAACAATCACATGTGCTGGAGGGATGCTGCCAGGGGTGAAAGTAACTTAAAGGACTTACCGGTACGCCAGAGTCCTGAGTGGGGGCGTGGTCTCAACTGGAAGAGACGATTTAAAGGCCCCGGGGCTCTGGCTGGGAGCCCTGGGGCCTTTAAATCACCCTGGAGCTACCAGCTGCAGAGGCGGCTAGGAGCCCTGGGGTTCAGCGGTGAATTAAAGGGCCCGGGGCTCCAGCCACTGCAGAGCTCCAGGCATTTGAAATCCCTGCTGAAGCCCCGCTGCCAGAGCTCTGGTGGTGCTTTAAAGGGTCCAGGGCTCCCCGCAGTGGCAGGAGCACTGGGCCCTTTAAATCATCACCAGGGAAGCCAGTCCGGTCCGGCATGGCGTACTGGCTTTTGCTGGTAAGCTTTATCAGATCGAACCTGCTTACTTTCACCTCTGGATGCTGCACGTGTAAACCCAGCCCATGCTACACAATCACTGTCTCATGACCCCCAGAGAAGAGAATCACCTTGCACACTGCAGGAGTTGATAAAACCATTTGGAATTCACAAGTGAGACAACAGTTTTGTCCTCAGTTTGTGCATTTGAGAGTTCTTGGCTCTGCACAATATTAGGGACTCTCCCATGAAGGGGCAGGTATTGCATAACAATTGGGGAGCTTGATCACAGGGCCCTCAGATCATAGAACCTCATCATTTCCCTTGTCCCCTTCTGGGTTCTGCATGCAGATGGCAAGGCTGGGCACAAGAGCTCAAAGTCAGCGTGCTGAATGAACCGGAGTGGGGGCCTCACTTGGGAACAAGACCTAGTGGAGCCTCAGATTAGTCTGTATAACTTCCCTGGCATACAGCACAGCAATAGAGGAGCATGACTGGCTCACATGTATTGCAAACCCACTCTGTTCCCTAGCACAGCACAGCTGCAGGGCCATCCCGGCACCCTTGAGCAGGACCCAGCACTCACTTTGCCAGCCAGTCAGTGCAGTCAGCAGATGGCTGGATTTACAGATAGGCTCTTAAGGCACATGAAAATAATAGTTTCATTAACAAGGCCTGTCCCCTCTCCTGCTGGGTAACAATCTCTGGGGTGCTAATCAGTGGCCAGACTTTGCCAGCTTTGTTTCTCAGCTCCACAATCAGGAGAAACCATAACTGAGAAAAACAGCAAGTTCAGTCATCTCCAGAGCACACCGAGCTGTTCTCCAGGGCTGGGGCTGCTCATGGTCCACCTGATCCTGTAACACAGGGTGTGGGAGTGGGTGTGGGTGTCTCCTCCGTGGTGAATTTCCCCCTTAGAGTACAACCCGTTATCTAGGGGCAGCAATTACAGCTGACTTTCCTGCTCAGCTTGTATCACTGTTGGCAAAGGAGAAACAGACAGCCCCTGTGGGGCTGGGCTAAGCCTGGGACTGGATTCACCATCAAGGCTGGAGTGAAGCAGGAAAAACTTTCTGACACCCGAGCCCCTCTAGGACAGAGGGGCCAGTTGTGAAACAGTGCAGGACACTTTGGAATGGGCTGTTTCACTGAGCAGTCACTGCTTTGCCTTTCTGTTTTTAAAAGGACAGTGCATGGATGTTCCAGGGGAAGAAATTAATGTGCCACTAGAGACAGATGCCTTGTGGGGACTTGCTCCACTATCTGGAGGTAACATTTGTATTCAATGGCAGTGACATGACAGAGTTTGAGCCAGAGAGTGGACAGACACGTGTGGGCGCAGCCCTGAGACCCTGCAACAGCAGCAGCCCTTCTGGTGGGGAGCGAGATGGGTGGATGCCTGGCTGCACTGAGGGAGCAGAACGGTGGTGGTGATTTCGTTCCACCTGGGGAGACAGGCTGGGGAAGGTCAGGAAGGAGGGGTGTGCACTGGATGGAAGGCACGTGCCCTTTAGGTCGTGCTTATGGCACAGTATTGGAGCCTGTGATCTGACCAGCAGCAGAGTGGTGTGGTGTGCATGGTAGCTGGCGACGTTCTGTTTCACAGCCAGATCTCCACAGGCCAGCACTGAGGGATTGCTCTCATGTGGCCAAAACAGCTGGTACACTTACACAGGGGCATGAAAAGCCGGTGGTCCCCAGCGAGCGCTTGCTCACACATCACAGAGCTGGCCAGGTGTCTTCAGTCCCAGCTCCTGTCACTCTGGCCATGGGAGGAGCCCAATGGAAGGGAGAGATGGGCAGCGGCTAGGGGACCCTCTCACACCCTTCACTCAGCTCTGGGGCTTGGTTCACAGCTGCGGCTGCCCTTCCCCATTGTCTTCTGTCTTTTTGAGCCCAGGCACAGCCTTCCCCTTGGGGGTCCGGTATTTGCTCTTCGGGCTGTAAAGAAGGTTCTTCTGGAAGAGCCTTGGGATTGTCCCCTGGTACAAGAGAAGGGATGCGAGCATCCCTGAAAGCAGAAACAGGGGGATTAGGCCATGTCATTTACCATCTCCCTGTCCCATCCTTTGACACACACCACACAACCTCTCCTCGGGCCAGATGGCACCTGCCCCAACTGGACCAAAAGCCGCTGGAGTCCCTGCTACTAGCACATGGTACTGTCAAACGCCAGAACAGCAAGAGCATTTAACAGAGAAGTGATCCACCTGCAAAAGCAGGGCTGGGATTGGTCCAGGTCACAAAAGAATGGCCTAAGTGAATCAGTTTTCTTTGGAAGCAGCCGTCTGGTGCTGCAGAATATAAGATTCATTTCACAAATTACAAATCTGGGGCTTATGGGTGTGAGGATAACCTTCAAATTACAGACCGAGTGAAATTGCCACAGCATGGTCTTCCTTCCATGACAGCCTGCAACAATATAGCTCCACGAGATGTGATCATCACCATGTCTTTAACCCTGTCATCTCTCCCACCCCTCTCAGTCCCATCTGCCTCATGCTTTGCAAAGTGCCCCCCCTACCCTAGCCAGTGTTTGGCAAATGACATTTAATGCGGCTCATTTTTGGTGTGGCAGAGTTCCAGCCTGGCTGATGGGGAAGAGGGGTGCTGGGAAGGGCAAGGAGCATCTGGCTCCAATGGCAAGACTAGCCTCCCCCCATAATAAATAAGAACACAAGGAGTTGCAACATACCAGCCGGAGTTCCCAATTTCTATGCTCAATACTTGTCCCTTTCATGCAGGTTCACTAACATGGCAGACATGCTAGGGAGGCTCCACCCCAGCCACATCCTCTGCCCCACTCTCTAGGTTGTGGTCCAGCATGGCCAGTCAGCAATACCTCCTGCACCTACTCGTACCCTGAACATAGCTCACCTGTGAGGGGTCCCAGCCAGTAGACCTGGATGTATTCTTGCAGGATGTTCCCAGAGCAGTGAAAAGTAACCATGGAGGCCAGGGTGGGGTTGAAAAAGGCCCCTGTGAAAGGCCCAGCTGTGAAAGAAGAAAACAAATAGTGTAATGAGTCTCACTTGTTTGACATGGATTTGAACAAATGGGCATTGGGCAACAGGCAGGATTTGAGAAGTTCTACTGCCAGAACTTTGTGTTTGAACTTTCTGAAAAAGCAGAGTCAAGTCACCTTGAACATCCTTAACTCAGCCCAACGCGCCTGCCTCCATGTCAAATAGATACACACCCCGCTTCCTAGCTGCACAATGTCCAACCTCTGAAACCGACACAGTTCAAACCACAAACCCTACTAGCACCGGACAGCCTGACCCTCATGTCCACTGTGGCTAATGCGGCAGAGTATACATTACCTAACTGCAAGGGTAAACAGCATACGAGATATCTGCAAGGAAAGGTGATGAGTGAGAAGTAAAGGGTTAAACTGGCTGTAAAACATCACCGCCTAGCAGTGGAAGGTGAAATGACTCTTGTGGAGGAGCTAGAACTAAAGGCGATCTCTGGAGGAGACCCCACTGCCAGAGATGAGCGGGTGGGTAATGTGCAGGTTCACATGCTGAGTACATGCAGCGCAGCAGGGCTGAGTGAGCGAAATTGTTAAGAGGTGACTTGGTCACAGTCTACAAGAACCTATGTGGGGAAGAGATTTCTGACAGGAGACAGACAGCTTTTCAGTCAATAAGAAAAAGGCAAAACAAGGGCCAGTGCTGAGAAGCTGAAACTAGACAAATTCAGAATAGAAATATAGGGTTTAAAAAAAAAAAAAACATTGAAGGTAAATAACGACTGGAACTGACTTGTCTAGAGGCACGGTGGATTCTCCATGACTTGAAATGTTTAAAATCAAGACCCGGATATTTTTCTACATTGGTTAGGCACAGAAATCCCCGAGTGAAATCCTTTGGCTTGTATTACACAGGGGGTCTGGCTAGATGGTCATAATGGGCCCTTCTACCAATGAACTACCAATCCTGGAGATGTATGGTGCATAGGCAGTGCTTAATTTGTGCTGGGACTTGCCAGGGCTGAGCCCTGGCACCTCTGGGCCTAGCAGTTCAGAGCCCCGGCAGCACCACTGGGCTTGGCCCATCTGTTATGAAAGTAAAAAGAATTGCTTGAGCCCCACCCCCTCTTTCATTACACATTAAACGTTGTGTCTAGGTGTCTAACTACCAAGATCTTGGGAGGAGAGTGGGTGGTCACACAAAGGTGGGGTTAAGATTGTTTTGTGGGGGGAGGTGAGGAGTGGAGAAGAGAGGTGACGTTAACTGTGCATTGCTGAGCTTCCTGATGTTTATTTTTGGAGTGTAAGCTTCCCTTTGAATTTTCCTGGCTTCGAGGCACGTGTGTTGGTAACTCTTCCCCTTTGGTTTATGGATCTAGAATTACAACCTTAGCTCCATATTAGCAGCTGGGTCTGGGAACTGCCTTTGGTTCTGAGCTATTTTCCCATCCCCTGAGCAGTAGGTCAGCAACCCCCGATGTACTGCACTGATTTGAAAGCTCAGTGCTGGTCGGGAGCTTGACAGTCCCATGTGGGCCAGTCCTCCAGCTGTCTCCTTTTGACCAGCCAGAAACTCCACCGAACTGCACCCTAGCTTGGCTCCCTCCCACTAAGCCCCTCTCCCCCGTGACAAACACATCCTTCTGTGTCCTGGGCTGGGGGTCTCCAGGCTTCACAGAAGGCAGCAAAGCTCAGTGTGCAAAATGGTACTGTGCTTTGGGTCCTAGCTTGGGATGTAGGTTCAAGTCCCTGCTTCATCACAGACTCCGTTTGACTCAGGCAAGTCACTCAGTCTCTCCGCTCCCATCTGTACAATGGGGATAACAGCACTCACGCCATGCGGGGGGCTGGCTGATGCGCTCGGATATTACTGTAAGCGGGGGCCATACAAGAGCCACAGGTAGGAACATTTGTCCTCTATTCAGTGCTGCACTCTGTTCCCCTAGCATGCAGGGGGCTCCTAATATGTAGTGGATGTACCAAGTTCATGGGAAGCCCCATCTTGAGTAAAGACTGCCAGCTGTACCTGCTCGGATGCTGATTTTAGCAACATGAGTAGAGTTGAATCCAAACTAGCACTGGCTGTGAGCTAACCACTACGTAGCTGTAGGTCCCTGGAGCTGAAAAGCCAATGCATTAGCTCCCCGAGTTTCATCCATGCTCCTTTCCTGTATTTACACCAAGGTGTTACAGGGGGGAAAAGAAATGTAGAAAGCTCCTCACCTGTGTAAGCCAGGGTGGTCACAGTCGCTGCCAGGATGGGCGCTCTGTACCGAGGGTCATTGTGCTGGAACTTGAGAGCCACCAAATGGAAAAAGAAAGAGCAGATGCCTTCCACAAAGATGCCATGGTACAAAGAGGTATGGATAGAGGAATTGCAATCCAGGGCCATTAGATTCTGGATGAGGTGGAAGTCAGTCAGCTCCCAGGACCAGTAGTGTGTGGTGAGAATCCCAGCTGCCTCCATTCCCACAAACTGGACCAGAAGTTTGACAGCAGTAACCACAAAGGAGGAATCCATGACCAGGAATTCTTGGAGAGAGACAGTGGGGTTAGCAGAAGCTCCATCAAAAGACACACCATGAATCAAGTAGAGAATGAAGTGGAGGGTCAGAATCACATCTGGGCCAAAGCCACCACCCCAGGGACCAATATCCATCAGCATCCTCAGCTCAAGGCAGCAAGCACACAACTGTAATGAGCTGACCAGTTCTCTGACAAGATCATGGTACACTCCAAGAGGAAGAAGTCTCTTGGAAACCTGCCTGACCACCTCACAAATAGCCACAACTGAGAGAAAGAAGGCAATGGAAACATTCAAACCCGCCATAACAAGCCCAACAGAGATGGCAAAGCATGAGTGTCACCGTCCAAAGAACAGATCAACCTTTTCTTCCTCTTCTTTATAAAGGCACTTTTAAGCCAACGTGGCACAGCCTGACAGGCCCCCAGTCAGCAGGGTCAAGGGAGTCTTTGGGAAAATCCACACGTGTGGCTACGCAAAGCTTTTAAGGAGCAGACAGTGAGATTCTCCTACCTACAGTATCAGCTGCAGCCAGTGTTGTTAATGCTTGCTGCTCTCTGCTACCCCCACCAGCCTGCCTGTCCCTGTGCCTTCACCCCTAATCAGAAGGGAGACAACCACAGACCCCATGTGACTCACATATCCTCTCCCCTCCTTCTGCTTTAACCATCAGCACTTGCTGCAATTAGAGAACCAACGACCTGCAGCCTGGGGTTTGTTCAGAACTTGTCTTCAAAGTTACGCTGCTGGTTTGTTTTACAACTGGATCTAGCAAGTGGGTCCAGCAGCTCTCACCCCATGGCAGTAAATCTGGGAAAGCCCAGCTCCTGCCCCAGGGTTATTTTTTGCGAGGCTTTGTTATGAGCCTTTGGCTGCTTTGTTCTGGCCCAGCGGGTCATTCACTGCATAGATTTGCAAACTGGAGCAGAAAGCAGCACTTATGTCGTCTTTGCTTCGGGTGGGCAGAATATTTGGGCAGCTTCTCTCTTTGTTTCAGTGTTTGGGATTGGTTATTGTACAGCACCTTAATGGTTTTTAGATAGTTAGGAGCAGGGAGCTCACGGTGAAAGCCCTGCGCAGTTAACAAGGTGGTGATGAAATGCAAAGGCAGCACAGAGCTTGGGTATGTGTAGGGAAGGACAACAGATGGAAATCTCTTTGCATACCCAGGCCAGGGAAGGCTAACTACATGGAATCCTGAAGAGTCTCATCACTGCATTCCTTTTAGGTCTCCTCCCTCCTCAGCTTCTAAAATACAACTGTATCCTCCAGGCTTGAGAAGTGAAAGGCTCTCCTCTGAGAACCAATGTTCCATGTTGATCAGGTGCCAGGACACACTAAAGTTCAGGTTTGTCTTTCATTGCCCTCTTGCCCCAGGAAGACAAAGCATACCCTAGGAAGCAGCATAGAGTCCTTATTGCATGCTGGATACAACAGAAAGAGGATGGAGGGAACTGAGACACCAACAAGGAAAAGGAAAACCAGAGCAAAGATGATTTAGGCCTGGTCTACAGTAGGCTTTTATATTGGTATAGCTACCTCTCTCAGGGGTGTGAAAAATCCACATCTGAGAGATGTAACTAAATTGATCTAACCCCGATGCAGACAGCACTTGGTTGATGGAAGAATTCTTCTGTCAAATCCACCTTGGGAAGGTGAATTACCTACACCGACAGCATAGGTAGCATCTACATTGAAGTGCTACAGCGGCTGTAGCATTTTCCCCGCAGTGATCCATGGGTAGGAGACAAGCTCAAAGACAAGTTCCCAGCTCATTCTCCCAAATGTGATAGATTTATTTGATCCCTGTCTCTAAAGGAGCAGTGGAATGGATATGCTTAGCTATGCACTCCACCACCATGTCCTGAACCCCCTGAAACCAAACTCCACACACACTGGTCTTTAAATCCTGGAATACCTGAGGAAAGCAATAGCAACTAGCAGTGACGTGATGCACCTTGCTTGTTACATATACAATTCCAGAGGCCTATAGCAGTGGGTCGTCTCTTTAAGTAGGGTTGTTCCTAGTGGGCCACAGAAAGATATTAAGAACTAAACTGTGGCAGGGTTGAATGAAGGAGATATGTGATTTGAACTCTTATGATGTAGACAATCAAATGAACAAACTGAAGCACAGACCTATGAAAAAGACAGTTACCATTTTCCATAACTGGTGTTCTTTGAGATGTGTTGCTCATGTCTATTCCACAATAGGTGTGCATGCTCGCCACATGCACTGGTGCTGGAAGTTTTTCCCCTAGCAGTACCCATAGGGGGAGTGCCCTAGCGACCCCTGGCTTGGCGCCTCCATGGCACAGCATAAGGGGTGCTGCACTCTCCCCCCCACCTTCAGTTCCTTCTTGCCAGGCAACTCCGACAGAGGGGAAGGAGGGCGGGGTGTGGAATGGACATGAGCAACACATCTCAAAGAATATCAATTACAAAAAAGGTAACTGTCTTTTCTTCGAGTGATTCGGGGGGAGGGATAGCTCAGTGGTTTGAGCATTGGCCTGCTAAACCCAGCGTTGTGAGTTCAATCCTTGAGGGGGCCATTTAGGGATCTGGGGAAAAATTGGGGATTGGTCCTGTTTGAGCAGGGGGTTGGACTAGATGACCTCCTGAGGTCCCTTCCAACCCTGATATTCTATGATTGCTCATGTGTATTCCACAATAGGTTATTCCAAGCTATATCTGTTGGAGGTGGGAAGGAGTTCATAAAGTCTCAGGACAGAGAACAGCCCTACTGAACCCGGCATCCTCCCTGGTCTGAGAGACAACTGCAAAATGTGAGGTGAACATGTTAACTGAAGACCACGTGGCAGCCCTACAAATATCCTGAATGTGGACATGGGCCAAATAGGCAGCCGATGAGGCCTCTGCCCTAGTCGAGTGCGCCTTCACAATTGGTGGCGGAGGGATTCCCGCCAGGTCATCATAGGTATGGATGCACAAGGTGATCCGGTTGGAAAGCCGCTGAGTGGAGATCAGCCAACCTTTCATGCACTCGGCCCAGGTGATGAACAGTTGTGAGGACTTTCTGAATGGCTTAGTCCGCTCCAGGTAAAAAGCCAGAGCCTGTCTCACATCCAGCATGTGGAGGCGGTGCTCCTCACTGAATGCATGGGACTTGGGGCAGAGGACCAGCAGAAAAATGTCCTGACCCATGTGATAGACGGAGACCACCTTCGGGAGGAATGAAGGATGTGGGCGAAGCTGGACCTTATCTTTATGAAACACCGTATATAGGGGCTCAGAGGTCAGTGCCCTGAGTTCCGAGAACCGCCTAGCTGAAGTGATCGCCACCAGGAAGGCCACCTTGCACGAGAGGTGTGACCAGGAGCACATGGCTAGCAGCTCAAACAGGGGCCCCGTGAGACGGGCCAACACCAGGTTTAGGTCCCACTGGGGGCCTAACATATGGGAAGAGACAATCCAACCCCTTAAGGAATCGGCCAGTCATAGCATGGGAAAATACCCTTTAGCCCTGTACCCGCGGATGGAAAGCTGATATGGCCCTAGGTGCACCTTGACTGACGAGGGTGCCAGGCCCTGGGCTTTAAGGTGAAGGAGGTAGTCCAGAATAAGATGGATTGGGGCAGCCACTAAGGAAATGCCCCACTTGTCCACACATCTGGAAAACCGAGCCCACTTTGCCAAGTAGGTTCAGCACGTGGAGGGCTGCCTGCTTTCCAGGAGGACGCGCTGAACCCCTTCCGAACATGTCCTTTCCTCCCTACCTAACCATTGAGCAGCCATGCTGTGAGGTGGAGTGCCACTGGGTTGGAGTGGAGGAAAGCAAGTCCTGGTCCTAGGAGATCAGGTCTGGGCGAGATGGCAACGGCCACGGCGGGGCGACCGCCAGGCCCATGAGGGTCCCGTACCAATGCTGCCTGGGCCATTCTGGGGCAATCAGAAGGACCTTGGCCTTGTCTAGTCTTTATCTTTTCCAGGACCTTGCTGATCAGCGGGAATGGGGGAAAGGCATAGAGAAACTGACTTGACGAGGTCAGGAGGAAGGTATCAAAGATAGCGCCCCGTCCCAGCCCCCTCCTGGAGCAGAACCGGGGACAGCAACGGTTCTCCTGAGTCGCAAACAGGTCCACTGGGGGAGTTCCCCACACGTGGAAGAGTGTCTACCACCTCTGCGTGGAGAGGCCACTCGTGCTGAGTGGAGAAGTCCCTGCTCAAGTGATCCACCCGTGCATTCCGGGTGCCCGGCAGATGGAAGGCCTGTAGGAAGATGTTGTGGGCTATACAAAAGTCCCAAAGCCTGCGGGCTTTACAGCCGAGGATTGGGCCCCACCTTGCCTGTTAATGTAGAACACTGAGGCCGTGTTGTCTGTGAGGACCCTGACCACCTGGCCCTCCAGGTGCGAGTGGAAGGTCACACATGCCAGCCGTACCACCCTGAGCTCTTTGACGTTTATGTGGAGGGTCAGATCCTGAGCCAACCACAGACCTTCGGTCTGAACGTTCCCCACATCCCGTGAAACGGAGGAAGCATCTGTGCCCCTTGAATATATGAACGTGGAACTACGTGTCCAGCAGCTCAAAGGTGGTGTACCACTCCCTGGCATCCAGGGAGGGGACGATGGAGGCCAGGGAGACCATGCAGAACTTGAGCTTCACCATGTACTGGTTCAGGCCTCGCAGGTCTAAGATGGGCCTGACCCCCGTTTTGGCCTTCGGGATAAGGAAATAGTGGGAGTAGTACACCTTGCCTTTGAACTCCCCCGGTACTGCTTCCACAGCTCCCGGGCCCAGAAGCCGCCCCACCCCCTGCTCGAGCAGAGCCTCATGTGAGGGGTCCCCCAGGAGGGATGGGGGTGGAGGTCGTTGGGCGGGAAGGAAGTAAACTGGAGGGTGTAGCCCTGGGAGATGGTGTTGAGGACCCATCGGTCTGAGGTCACCCGCGAGCACTCCGGGAGGAGAAAACACAACCAATTGGAGAAAGGAAGCTTTATTGAGGGTGGATCCCTGATGAGAACTGGCAGGGTGCCCCTGGGCGTCCCATCAAACCACCTTTTCCCCGCTTGCTTGCTCTTGGAGGACCCAGGCTGGGGGGCAGGCAACGACTGCCTCTGTGGGCACCTCTTATAGTCCCGTGACTTCTTATAAGCAGTCTCGTATTTTGAATGGGTGGCCTGAGCGAGAGTCTGCTGCGGCTTGAAATGAGGTTTAGCCGGAGCCAGAACATAGAGACCCAGAGTCTGGAGAGTCATGCGGGAGTCTTTCAGGCCATGCGGCTTTGTATCCATTTGTTCCGCAAACAGAGCTTTGCCGTCAAATGGCAGGTCCTGCAGGGA